GTGTGTGTGTGAGTGAGTGAGTGAGTGAGTGAGTGAGTGAGTGAGTGAGTGAGTCTGTCTGTCTGTCTGTCTGTCTGTCTGTGTGTGAGTGTGTTGGATGCAGTTCCAGTTGAACTCTATGGATGGCACTGTTCACAAAATATATTTCCTAGAGCAGAAATCCCATATCTCCCTTTTTACAGTCTTGAATAAAACGCATGTATTGAACAGGAACCCAATTCTCTTTAGGGTGAGTCTCACAAAGAAATTTCTATTTTCTCCTAAAATCAAAAGAAAATATTTTGCTTAAAGAAAATGGAGGCATTATGTTTTTATGATAATTTGCATTGACATTTTTGAGGTATTTAAACACATTTTACCCTCATATTCTAATTGTATTGCCAAAAATTGTGATGAATTCTCATACTGTTATACAGTAATAATCATCCTGTCCATAAAGTGTTTTATTTATTTATTAAAATCTGCATAAATTATAGCCAGTACAACTGCCATTATTAAATAGTTATAAGAAATATATTTTATTTTATATTATTATAATTTATTTTATATATTTCTTTCCAGATGAAAGTAATTTTACACCACACCAAAATTATTTATTTTGGTTTGCAGTAATGAACATTTTGTGGGAAAAATGTGATTAAAATATAATGTCCATGTATAAAATAATAATAAATATCTAAAAATAAAAAGTAAAAATTCTGAAATAAATCTGAAATATAATTCTGAATTCTAAAAACAGGCTTAATTTTCTTTATGCAAAACATAAGTTCTATTAGATTGCAGAACATTTTGGGTGAAAATGTGTTTGAATAAAAAAACAATGTACATGCATAAAATAATAATAAAAATCTGAAAAAAAAAATTACTATATAAAATTCTTAAAACAAGCATAAATTTCTTTATGCAAAATTAATTTCTTTATTTTGATTTTGGGGTGAAGTATCACTTAATTTTGTGAGATTTACCCATAAACTGTCTGTTTTTGTATGTTGATGCTCTGATTATTATCACATTCAAAAAAACTTTTTTTTTGGCATGCATAAAGAGATTCTAAAATATTTCCCACAATTCCTTCCTATAGTTGACATGTTTATTTTAATCAGCTGATTAATAGGTGTCAGTTCGTTAGAGGAAATGATTTATAAACCATAGTTATTTCCAGACACCATATTTAATTTGACACAAATGAAAATGAGACTGTGTCACTTATTATTTCGGCCAATCACAGCGCTCTTTGCCATAAGCCCCTCCCCTCAGATCCCAGATGAGCGTGTGCGTGTGATGAACGGGTGTAAAATCCATGCAGTGACGCAGAATGTGTGCGGTGAGAAGTGTGTGTGTGTTTTAGTGGAGAAAGCGATGCTCTTTTGTTCTTTATTTTTATTTTATTTTTATTTCATGCACACAAGCTCATATCCTGACAGCGTTTCCTCCGAGCATGACGTCTGTTTCAAATACTGTATCAAACTCTACGCAGACCCTCTCCTTGAGCTATTTTGCGAAGGAAAGCAAGTGCGCTTGTGATTCACCCTGGTGCCAGCAGCAGATCTGGTGATGCTCGCACTTAAAAAAGACTGTAAAGCACCTTCATATGAGACTAAACACTATAACTGATGCATCTGGCTGGTTTTAAGACACTCGCGTCCCCTCGTGCTCAACGCGGGAGTCTGTCGAGGTGCCTAACAAGTGCACTTGGTTTCAGATGGAGGGGACTGCACACTTTATGGATGACTTGTGGGTGTGGCTTGTGTTTAGCTCCGCCCTCTCTGATGAATTTGTGGGTGGGGCTGAGAGTGGGCCAGCTTAAACGGACTGTGGGAGATGATTGTTGCTAATTTATATGAGGTCTCTGTATATGTCTGCTTAATGTTTGCACACCATAAAATGTGTGGACGATCCTTGCGTTTTTTGGTCTTTTTCTCTGGATTTTTAAAAAGGGAAAGTCGTGCATGTGTGATGGAGTTGTATTTATCTGTATAGTGTCTCTGTATGGACATCAGACAGTTCGGCTGAGGTTTCTTGGACGTCTGTGTAAATGAGATGAGAACGATAAGAGGGTCTTTTCTCTGGGTGTATAATCCCATGAGCTGACATCAGCACTCAGACTGCTGAGATTGACAAAACAGTCTTAAATCGACCTACAACCACCTGCTGATGATCGTTCAGCTCCCGTCCTCTTTCTTTAATTACCCACAAGCATGCATTATGTAATAGATCGTTCCAATCCTGTGTTCTGATTGGTCAATCCAGTGTTCCAGTAAGAGACCAGCTATTAACCTTAGTTGATACGACAACACTAGATCTACTAGTATCATCATAATAGTAAAATAATAATAAAATTAAAAAAAATAATGTTCAGTAACATTCAGTCCATATGACTTAGTCTTTAGAAAACATACTGGTAAAGATGAACAAGGTTCTATTTGTTTGCATTCATTTACATTAGTTAACATAAATTATGAATGAAAAATACTTATTATTTTAAAGCACATTTAAATTTAAGAAAAAAAAACTTAAAGCGTTTATTAATCTTAATATTGATTTTAACATTTACTAAGCAATTATTAAAATCAAAAGTTATATTATTATTTAAATTTATTTTATTGTATTTTATCATTTACTTTTTATTTATAGTTATTGTTTTTGTAAAATTATAAAAACAAAGCAAATTCTATAATTAATCAAATAAAAAATAATTTTATAATTTATATTATGATTTATTCATATTATTATTAAATATATACTTTATTATTATTATTATAGTTTATAATAAAGTGAGTCTGCAGCCAATGTTTGAATTAAAATGATTTAAATTGGACTTTAGACATCTTATAAATAACAAATATATAGTAGTAATCATGAAGATTATTATTATTATTATAGCTTTTTATAAAGTGAATTTGCAGTCGGTATTAGAATTTATTCAAATTGTAAAATTAGACTTCATACAAATAACAAGTATTTCTAATTATAATTATTTTTATTTATTATTGTTATTATTATAGTTTTTAATAAAGAGAATTAGAATTGTTATTAAAATCTTATAACAAATATACAGTAATTATGTAGCTAGACGGTAGCTAGATATTATTATTATTATTAATTAATTAATTTTTATTACGGTTTTTAATAATGTGAGTCTGCAGTCAGCATTAGAAATTGTATTAAAAGTGGACATTAGACATCTTATAAATTACTAATATATTTATGTGATTATAATAATAAAGTAATTATCGATAATTATTGATAATTAATATTAGAGTAATATAGTAACAGGCAAGCAAACATGTTGTTGTGTTTGTGTTGAGGTGTTACTCTAGATTAGTGTCGTGAGTCATCGGTGTGTGATTATTTACAGATACATATTCACTACTCTTAATATTAGTATTTCAATATTTAGAATATTAACTGCTGATGGGGAATATGAATACACACAGCCTTCCTGCAGGGAAAACAAGAACTGCATAGGTTTGGGTGTTAGTCACCAGTGATTGGTTAATGGTGTGTGATGTCACAGGTGGGCGTTTACATGGGGAAGCGGGATTTCGTGGATCACTGCGAGTTTGTTGATCCTGTCGGTGAGTTAAGCAGCCACAGCACACAGCTCACATGCAAATCACGGCTCTCAACGTGCATCCACACCAGACTTTATGGGCAACAGGATATGATGTCATGCTTATTTTTTGTTTGTTTTTAAAAGGGCAGAAGTTCCAACTTCTGTTGTGCCAGCCGAACCCCAATGTCTAACTTAATATTTCAAACATAAAAAATAAATTTGTAAAATTAATCAAATAAAAATAATGTATTTAATTTAATATAAATTTTATTTTTTTATTTTATTTAATTATATAAATCTAATGGACCTGAGCTTACATGACCTAATAATGAATTGTTGTATTTTTATTAAAGTATTTTTAGTTTATTAATTTTAACAAAATTAATTATTAATTTTACTTAACTTAATGCGTTAACAAATGGGACCTTTTGATTTTTTTTTTCTTTCTCACATATTATAATTTTTTTGTCACAAACAGACTGAAATCTAAGCTGTTTTTGCTGAAATTAAGATATTTAGTGTGCAAGGAATTACATATTGGTTTCATGCAAACTATATAATGACTTTTCAGAAGACTTTGAAAATAAAAAATGACTTTTATTCTTTTCTGGAGCCTGATATCCACTCGTTCACTCTATTTAAAACAAGCTTTGACATTCTGCTAAACACCTGCTTTCACAGAAAGTTACAGTGGTTTGAATAACATGAGGGTGAGTAAATGACCACAGAGCTGTTGTTTATGGTTGAACTAGTCTTGTAAACTAAGGTAAGGTTGGAATGCACATTGAGAACCAGCTCTATATTTGTTGATATGCTCCTAACTGACCCTTCACCTCCGAAGAAACCTCCTTCAGTCCTCAGAGCCCACATAATCTGTGTAAGGTTATTACACTAAATATGCTTTCTTGTTGCTTATTTAACGTGTGTGATATAAGAATGATATTCCTGCATGTTTATCAGTGTCTTTATACGCATGTGATTGGATTAGTTGTGCATCTTCATTACTTCTGCAAGCCAGAGACGCTAATCTCGCTGACGGAAAAGAGCCGAATGAACGGCTAGCGGTGGGCGGAGTCACAGCTTACAAATACTGGCCCTGAAACCCAGCATCCACTCACACTTGAACTGAACGTGATTGGTTAATGGTGTGTGATGTCACAGGTGGGCGTTTACATGGGGAAGCGGGATTTCGTGGATCACTGCGAGTTTGTTGATCCTGTCGGTGAGTTAAGCAGCCACAGCACACAGCTCACATGCAAATCACGGCTCTCAACGTGCATCCACACCAGACTTTATGGGCAACAGGATATGATGTCATGCTTATTTTTTGTTTGTTTTTAAAAGGGCAGAAGTTCCAACTTCTGTTGTGCCAGCCGAACCCCAATGTCTAACTTAATATTTCAATAATTTAACAACAAATTTGCATATTTGTGGTTCTCTGGTGTCTTTTAATGGTCACATGACATGTAGGTAAACAAATATTTTTAGTAAGGGTTTTATTGTAATTATATCAGAATCAGAATCAGAAGAGCTTTATTACCAAGTATGTTTACACACACAAGGAATTTGACTTGACGACAGGAGCTTCCAGTGTAGAAGAACATACATATATATATATATATATATTCATATATTCATTTTATTTTTTACAATCAATTATTAGCTTTTCATTAACTCATAAACCCCCAGTTTGGAAAAACATGTTTTAAGAAATGTGACCCTGGAGCACAAAACCAGTCATAAGGGTTAATAAATAAGCTTTCCATTGATGTATGGTTTGTTAGGATAGGACAATATCTGGCTGAGATACAACTATTTGAAAATCTGGAATCTGAGGGTGCAAAATCTCTAAATATTGAGAAAATCACCTTTAAAGTTGTCCAAATGAAGTTCTTAGCGATGCGTATTACTAATCAAAAATCGTTTTGATGTTTTTACG